TGGCAACTGGAAACCGCAGCGTCCAGCACTGGCAGTAAGTGACAGGGATACCCACAGGAAACTGCTAAATTTCTACAGGAGAAAGTTTATCAGGAAATGACATCAGAGGGCTCAGCGAGGACTGTCATACAGCAGAGAGGGTCTGGGGTGTGGAGGTTAAGGAGAGACAGTCAACTCTTGGCTAGGATATGCATGGGCCATGTGAACAGAGCGCTCACCTACGTTAAATTGCAGCAAACATAGACATGTATTGTGGAACCTCAACACTGCCAAGGGCCCAAGAAAAATCACAAGAACAATAACAAAACACGAGCTTAGCTATTTCAGAACACATCCCTGAGAATGGGCCAAAGATGATAACTTAGGAAGTGTGGGAGCATCTATTTTCTACTGTTATAATATCACTGCATTTTGAAAATGTCATCAGAGCACACTCCAAATAGTCTCAGGCAGGAGAGTAATGTGAGAGAGAAGAGAATGTACCAAGAACATGTTCCCGACGGAAGTTCAGGGTGAGGAATGCAAACATCTACAGGAATGGGGAAGTTAAGAAAAGAAGCCTCCTTGACACAGACAGCCCAATCCCCACCGGACCCCAAGAGCTTTGAATGGACGACAAGAGACACTCAAGGAATTTTTAAGGGGAAAAAAATGGGGAGGAAATGGCAGAAGTAACGGAACATTGATACCACTGCAGTAAGAATGCTAAAAACAACAAAGTATTTTAAACACTCATGACCTGTCTTAACAGCAGCCTCGTCTGTGTTCTGAGAAAATGTGGTTGTTGGAGCCAGTAGGAAACACAGGCCTGCCTCGGCTCAAGGCTCCGAAGACCACCTCCACCAGAGGGACCCCGGTGCGGGTGGGCTGCCACCTTGGTGTTCTAAATGGCCTATAAAAACTGGGATCTCCAACTTGCAGCGACGTCAATTCCCCCCACTTGAGAAGGCTCAAAGAATTCCATTTCTTGGCGGGGCTTCCTAGCAAAAACTACACCGCAGTCCCAGAGTTATAATCTTCACTTACAACTTGAGAGCGTCAGCCACTAAAACGTGGCCAGTAGGGAGGTGAAAAGCAAACGCCATTGCTTCTCCTCTCTGCCAGCCTTTTGGAAAGTGCCTGAGGACAGTGCAAGTCCGCCTGTCTCAAGGCATGTGCTCGCAGCTCTGAGTTCAGGGAACGAGGGGGTACTGGGCGTGCCGAGGAGGGTGTGCAGGTGACAGCGATCGGTATGAGTGCGTTTGATGAAACTCCTGCGAGCAGATGACCATGAAAAAGGGTGTGCTGATTTTCAGTTACCCATTGATGTGGGAGAGTGAAGTGAAAGAGGCTGGGTTTTAGTCAGACCCTGCTGAACTTCTCTGGGCCTATTTCCTCGTTTGCAAAACGGAGAGAATCACTGTACCTACTTCAAAGGCTGCTTGTGGGGATTAAGGGAAATAAATAATGTGTGAAAAGTGCTTACCAGAATGTCTGGTAAGGAGTAAGTACTGGGCAAATGTTGTTAGGCTGTTCGTGTGTGGAGCGCCTAACGAGGAAGCGTATGATTACCATGGCACCCAAGCTGCCCAGTGAGGGGCAGGAGCTGCGGCAGCCACCTCTGCCCCTCAAATATCAATAAGCAAATGTCAGTGAAAAGGCCATGACACTGGCATGCCTCACAAAGAAAGGCATAAATGTCCCTTACTCTAGCCTCTGCTCCAAGACCCATCATATTTTACATCTCTAAAATTCTCCAAGAGGTTAAAAAAGTCCAAGAGTTCCACAGACTCCACCTTGGCCAGCTTGCTCTGAAAGTTAACAGAACCCACCCACGCCTATCGGTTCCAGGGAAGGGACTCTGGAGCTGCCTCCTGCTCTGCCCAAAGGAGAAGCACAATAGCTGAGAGCCACTTTGCAAGAAGGTGGCCAAATCTGAGTCCTAGCTGATGGGACAGCGAGTACTAGCCTTCGCGCATTCACTGGTAGTGTGTCCCAGGAGTGGAAGGACAAGCAGACCTAGCTTCCCACCCCTTTATCTCAGCTGGTCGACCTCTGTGCACAGGAAAGCACACCCCAGGCCCAAAGCTGGAAGCCTTTAGCCCACTCCGGGCAGTGTCAGGGGCCCCTGCACAGAAGGACCGGGACCTCCACGGTGAGAGAGCCCAATCCAGCCTGAAATCCTTTGCAAGTTAGTTCAGTAAACAGGGGTCAGGACAGACAAGGGGCTCTCAGAAAGGTAAGTTTTAAAGCCCAAAGGACTGACTGGGCCAGAGGAGGAGAGAACCGAGTAACCCAAGATTTGGAATAAAGATCAGTTATAGTCCCACTGCACCAAGCACAGGCTCCTCAGAACAGGAAGGAAGGGACCCCATCCCTCCCACCTCTCAGCCTCCCTCTCTCCCCACCCTGTCCAATTCTCAGGCTCGAGGATGCACTTATATTGGGCAGGGCTAGGATTCTTCTCTTCCCATAGGCTGTCAAACCATAATATTTGCTCTGTTTCCTTCCCTTCCAAAGCCTAACAGATTAGATTGCCAGAGTCCTATCCAGCTCAACGGCAGACGGAAAACTGAAAGTAAGGCGACCCAAACTGCTCACAGTGGGGCAACAGAGCAGCCCAATGTTCCAGCACTCACATCCTCTTTTCCAAGTTCTAGGACTACATCAGACAGAATAAATAGTGTCCAGTAGCTTCAGTGAATCAAAAGACACTTACTGCACTGTGGCCCACGGCAAGAGCTAATCTGAGGCATTCCAGCTTTTTAACAGGGCAGCACTCACCTGTTTACCTGCCCCATGAAGAAGACAGAAAATCAATGAAATGCCAGCTGGATGTGTACGATGAAGATCGTGCTCCTGCTGCTTGGGTCTCCCTAGGGTTCCAGCACTTCAACAACACCCTGCAAGCCTGCAGGAGTTGCTGGGGAGAATCTAGCTAACAGGGCTGATGCATCTCCCTCCCCACTTTCGTAGAATCCATAGGTAGGCACCAACCAAAACCTGCATGTCTTCAGGATTTATTTTAACCTTAGTAAAATATGCGCTAAATACAGCTCAGCTCGCTACAACACAATGGGATTTGCAGGCCCTACTTCCTTACACAGAAGAGAGAAGAAAGCACCAGCAAAGGAAAAGGAGGTTTTACAAACTCTCCACCAAAGGGCAGGTGGTTTCCAAGTCAATGCCTAGGTGATTACCCATCTCTGAAGCAAGCAAGGCTCCCATCATCCGTAGCTAGAGCTCCACAAGGAGCCACACTTTGTAAAAAGTGGGGCTTACAAATAGGGCAGAAGATTACTTAGCTGTAAAGGCAACACCCAAAGTAAACCCTCGTGAACCAGCTTGATGGACTGTTTCCACAGGCTGGAGGCACTGCCACTCTGCTCTTTCCCCTTCTGCTGGACAGGTGCAAACAATTCATGTGCTTGCCATCATTCATTCATTCATTCATTCATTCAACAAACATTTACTCACCACTTAGTAGATGTCATATACTGGGGCAGCCAGAGTCTAGACTATCAAGCTAGACTTTCGCTATGACATAAGTCACCTGCCTGCAATCGGCACACAATGAAGAAAGCTACTAGCTGATATGATCATACTGCTTTTTAAAAACCTCCTCTGCGTTCTAAAGCATGCTGGATCTCTTTTTGAGCAAACAGTTCTGTGTTCTAGGAAGCTGTTTAGCTTCCTAGACTGGAAGCTCCCTAAAGACAGAGGCTGCATTTTGTTCATCCCTGCCTTTCATATCCTTGTTATCCAGTATATATCAATTGAATACAAATAAGATAGGAAACAAACATTTCTATTCTTTCAAGATCTTCGGCTTTACTGTTTCCGAAGGCTTTACCACCAAAGAAAAATGATGACGCTTCAGAAAGGAGGAAAAAGGGGACTGACTTAGATATATTAAAAACAACATGAGTACAATTTTGGAACTTCAGCCCAAGTGCAAGTGGGCTGAGGTGCTCCAAGAGCCACAGCTGGCATCCTGGTAGAATGTTTCCCCCCTCCCTCTTCTCTGCTGTTTACTCTCTTTTGAAAAGCCTCATTTGGAGTCCTAAAGAAAGAAAGGAGGAGGGAGGGGAGGCATTAGAAGGGGAAGACACAGCTTGAACCTACACTCATCAAGAAGGAAGGAAACCTTAAGCCAAAAGCTGGGGGGCAGGGCTGGCTTGGGGGAGGAGATGTGTAAGACTAAAGTGGAGGACATGCCTGGACACTTTTCCTTCCTACAAGGCCTCTTTTTTCCCTTTCCTCTTGTTTTTTTTTTTTTTGTTGTTGTTGGGTTTTTTTTTTAATATGGTGAAATAACAATCTTCAGAACTGGAGAGCTGGAGCAGAAAAGGGAAGCAAGTAAGGTGAGAAAGAAGTTGGTGAGAGAGACAGACAGACAGCTCCCCTCGAGGTGCTTTTCCAACCTGGCACCGAATATGCATTTTAGGACAGTTTTCCTTCAAGTAAGCCCCATAGCCTGGAGTTCCAGAAGCCCAAGGGCCCGGCCTGGACCCAGGGGAAAGGAAGGGATCTCCCTACGAAAGCATACAAGGCCTGTCCTGTAATAAGGTAATAGGGAAAGAGAGAGATGAGTCTCCACGACCCAATGCGTGCCCCAGGGACTTGCCTGGACGGTCTCTGCTCTCCTGCCCTACCCGCAGCTCGGGCAGTTGTTGCGGGGCCGCTGCCCCAGCGCCAGAACCCGCAAAGAAGTTTCGCCGCTGCAAACGTGAGAAAATGCAGCTCAGCAGAACACCCGCCCAACCCTCCCTGCGGCCCCACCCCCGCGGCCCGACCCCTGGCGGTGGCGACCTTGGCCACCCCGGACGCTCCAGAGGATTGGAGGAGGGGCTGCCCTCCGGGCTTTCGCGGGGCTAGAGGCGGTGGCCAGGGGTTGCTGCGAGAGCCCCCTTGGCCCTCGGCCACCAGGGCAGGAGCACCCACAGCCCCCAGCCCGCGCCTGCCCCCGCGCACCCCTCTGCGCCTCTCCGCTCTTGGGCCCGCGAGGGCACCCAACTTACCCCGCCGTGCAGGGGCCGGGGCTCGGGCAGGGTGCGTGTGTCACATCGGGGTAGGACGCGCCCCTTCGGCCCGCGGGGCTGGCGCTCTCGGGGGATTTCTTTATCTCGCTGCCAAACTCTCGGTGCCTCTCGCTCCTCTAGCTTTTCTACCCCCCCACCCCGCCCCCTCCTTTTCTCTTGTCTCTCGGCTCTTTTTTCCGGGTTAATTACGTTTCGCCTCAAAGCAAAACCCAGCCCCGGATGTGAGTACAATGCTCCGCGGAGCCCGCTGGGGGAGGAGAGGGGTGCCGGGGCGCCGCCGGGTGGGAGGGGGCACGGCCGGGCGCGGCGGGCTGCGCGGAGGAGGCGGGGCGGGCGCCCGGAAGGCGGCCGCGACCCCCTCGCCAGCGTCTGCCGGCGCGCAGGTGGAACCTGGGCCGCGGGGGGAGGCCGTGCCTCCGACTCCCGGCCCCGGCAGCAGGTGTCCGGAGCCGGAAAGGGGCCCGGGGCGGAGGGCATCCTCGAAGGAGGGAGGCTGTTCACCCTGATCCCCATTCCTTCTTCCCAAAGCCCCACCCAGCGACTTCAGTCGGGCCTCCCTGGCATCCTGAGCCCTTGCCTTCCTCGGACTGCGGGGTTAGGTTTAGGGTTAGGGTCGAAAGAAGCAGCGCAGATTCTCCCAGATTGTCATGAAATTGCCCGAAGAGCCCCGTAGGGCCGAACGTCCTAACTGGGGATATAGGGACATTTTCCGAGTGTGGCGCAAAGACGCCCTTCCCGCCCCCAGAGCGGGAGGGTGCCCTGGGAAAAATGGGAAACAGAAGAGCTTGCATTAAGTAAATATTGCCAAGGGGAACCTAAGAACTACTGTGAGCCGGTGCAGCCTCCGCGTTATCTCAGTCGATATCCACTGCAGCCCTGTGCGTATCCATTCCGTTCACGATGAGGAAACCGAGACTGGAGACGTGAAGTAATGTGCCCAGAGTCCCACAGTTAATCAATGGCAGGTTGGTCAGGTTCTGACGCGGGCCTCCCACGTGAGGCGATAGACATTTAAACGTACATTAAGTCGGGCGGTTAACATCCGACACAGAAATGCAGTGGATTCACCCTGGAAGGGAAGGTCGGGAGACGCGGTTTCTCGGGATTCTGATGCAAATGTAGTGAACACGATCTGAGGCCGACCAGACTTGGAAGGAGAGGAGGGCAAGAGAAGATCCTTGAGGCTCTAGGACCAGAATTGGATATACGAGAGTGATGGAAAGGCTGGTTCACATTCCGGTAGTGTAGGGCCAAGGCAGACAGTTTAAAAGTCTCCGGGACCTCAGGCAACAACGCCCGGGGACAGGGAGCCCGAGCCAGGAGGGAGGCAGAACACCGCGCAGCACACACCCCGAAAGCACCAGTGATGAAACCACACACGTTTCCTCTTCCATTTTGATTGCCAAAGCAAAAATGAGCACACGGTTCTCTCAGGTGTGAAAAGAGGCTGTTTGCTCTAGAACATTTTGCTTTAAAAGAGGAAGGAAAGGGGGACACAAGAAAGAGAGAGAAAAAAAAACATTTCCTTTGAAATAAATACATCAACGTCGGGGTTTTTTCCCCCTGCTCATGGAGATTTTTGCCACTCACGAATTTCAGGCAATGTAACATGTTGAAGAGCATGTTCTCTAGAACCGGGTGGCCTGGGTTTGAATCCCAGCTCCCCTACTTTGATCCTTGGGTAAGTGGCTTAACCTTTGGGTGCCTCAGTTTCTACATCTGGGTTCTTAGGGAGAGTAAATGAGTTAACATTTGTAGTGTTTAGATTGCTGTTGAAAATGAAGTGGATGCTATGGAAATGTTTTTTGAATTTAAAAATTAGATTATGGTTTTCAGGGTGAAAAGGAATAAAATTCCACCCAGCTCCAAGCAAATCTGACTGGGACTGGTGGTTTCCAGTGTGAGCAATGAGGTAAAAATCTCAGATTTCATGGTATGGTTCACATTAAAACCCATAAAACTCTACTCTCCGTTGAGCCTGCCTGAGTCACTCAATCACAGAGCCACAAATATTTTCTGAGCACTACTGTCTTGGATGTCTGGGAGGCCAAGAGGAGCCAAAGGCCTTGGGTCTTGTTGAGGGGGTACAAGTGTCACTAGGAGGTCTTGGCAGGCTTGTATTCCTCCTGGAAGTGCCTGGGGAATAAATGGCACAGAGACTGAGTACTGTCAGCCTTTAGCGGAGAAAGATGTCTGCGAGGCACGGAGTTGGGTTCTCAAGAAGGGGGTGGGTCTTGAAGTGGGCTTAAGAAAATGGGTACAATTTGCCTCCGGTGGTGAGGAGCAAGAACATATTAAGCTGGGAGGATGGTCATCAGCGCCCTTTGAGCGAAGCTCATACTTCAGGGGGAGCCCCATTTTCTTTTGCTGTTGACTCTGGCCAGGCCCCCGGCCCCAGCTAGACTACAATTGCTACCCCGATTCCACTCTTACCCCTGGATTTCCTGATGCTTCTCAAGAGGACTACCTCCTCCTGCAGTGGGCGCTGCAGAGCAGGTGTGAATTGATTCTGCACCCTGCTGGAGTCCCTTTCCATCTCATGGCTGACACATTTGTAAAGCATTTCCATTGCCTGGCTTTATGCATCAATTTTTTTCAGTACAATAAACAGCCCTGACCTCTGAACATACGACTGCCAGTGGGGAAAGGAATGTCCAAAAGAGGACCTTTCATGTCAGTCGTTTAAGTCCCCTCATTTTATCAGTGCAAGATGAGGTACAACAGTTTGCTCAAGGTTTTGCAGCTAGTTAGTGGCAAAGTGGGTTTTAGAAGCCAGGGTTGACTACCCTCAGAATCTTCTAGTATCGGTATAGAAACTTTTCCATGAAGATGAGATTCTGGCCCAAAACTTAAGAATCTAACCAGAAAGCCTTTTACTCTACTCTAGCCATTTATGCACTTTCTATTTTCAGCATTAATGGCTGGGTAGCTGGATGATCGAATAACCTTCAGTGGTGAGCCAGGGTACCCTTCACCCTCAGAGCTACCCATCATATAAGGTCCCAGGCTGCCACTGGGGCCAGTTAGTTCTGCTGGGGGAAGGGTGGGACTGAAGAGACCAAAGTCATTGGTTGATCCTGGTTCAGGCTAGTTAACTTTACACAGAGATAATTGCTCCAAGGCCACACATTGCACCTCTGATGCTAGCTGCTCATTTTATAAATAGTTACTACTGGTTTCAATAGCAAAACAGTGTCCATTTCCAGAACGATTACGCAAACTACTATTGTTTGATTCAGTCCTATTCATTCAACAACCAATTATCTGAACCTCGTACCATGTTTCCTCCCATATATCTTGCATTTACTTATTTGCCAAATACTAAGTGCTAAGTGCTTTACACCTATTATTCACCTAAGTCTTTCAACACTGGGAGCAAGTTACCCTTATTGCCCCATTTTACTGATGAGGCGACTGAGACACAGAAACAAACCTCTGCAGCCAGTGCCAGAGGCTGCCCTCTCAGCCGCCGAGTTTGTGACGGAGACAGAAAGATGTAAACCAAAACTCTTTCCCCTCCACATTTTTTATAATTATTAACATTTACAATATCCATTCCATTCCACCTAGCAATTTCATGTCCAAAGATATGTCCTACAGAAAACCATCTGGAGATCGATGTGGTATATATGGAGTGTGTATGTATATAGGGAGTGTGTATTTGTATATGGGCTATATACACACATACTCACTGAAGCACTGTTTATAACGGTAAGTTGGAAATCACTCTCATGATCATTAACAAGGGATTTAACAACTAAATATTGGTACAGTCATACAATCTTATACTACTCAGCTGCTTTAAAAAAATAATTGTGGGGGAGGGATGTGGGTGGAGGTGGAAGAGGGTATGGGGGATAAATGGTAATAGAAAAAATACAATAAAAATATAAAATAATGTAAAAAAAATTCCTGTGATTAAATTGTGAAAATATATATATAATATATATGATATTTTAGGTGGAAAAAGGGTACAAAGCTGTCTGTAGAGTATAAACCCATTTCTGTAAATAAAAATTACACATGCTTATTCCATGAAAGTAGTCTAGAAGACTATATTCCAACCTGTTAATCACAGTTTTCTTAGGACAGAGGAGGAAGGGATGTAATGGTGGATCTCACTTCCTAAGAGATGTATTTCTGTAATGCTTAATTTTGGGCAATAAGTATGCATACATTTGATTGTGAGAAAAGAACAATAATAATTTAAATTTTAATAAAAAATGTAAAAGCTCTATGGGAAAGCATACTGCAGCCCTCAAAGAGCCCATCATTTATTAGGGAGGGGATATAACGTACAGAAATGACTATCACAAAAGCCAGAAACTGATAGAGGCAGAGAAGAGAGAAGAGATAAAGTTCTGTGGGAAATCACAACGAGCTAGGATTGAGAGGTGCAGGAGAAACTGTATGAAGGATGCTTAAGGACCTTGAAGGAAAGGTAAGAGGTGGAAGGGGCCAAGGGGCAGGGCGGGGTGGGGGGAGGGAGAAATGAGAATAGGTAGAGCCCAGATAAAGAGACTGTCAAAAGCAAAACAGAGGGGCGGGAATGCCTGCGATCCATTCAGGGAAGTGTGACGGGTCCAGTTTGGCTGGAGCACGGAAGGATAGATGAAGGGTTTTCCTGGGAACAAAACAATAAAGAAAGGTAGATGGAGGGTCGTTACTGCTAAGCTAGTGAGTTGTGCTTGTTACTTTAAGCACCAGGAGCCACTGAAGGCTTTTGAGCAAGGAAGTGACACAATCCGAAGTGAATAAGCAGTTTAGTGATTGCATAGCACGTGGACTCTAGCAACAAGCTGCCAGGATTTGACGCCTGACTCTGTCACTAATTAGCTGTATAGCCTTCGACTGGTGGTAACTTGACTTCTTTCTCTGTATTTCTATAAAACGGGGAGGGTGGTGGTAACAGATAACCTATCTCATACTGTTGTTGCTGAGACTGAGTGAGTTACTGTTTTGGAGCACATAGTAAATACTAAGAATTCTGTTAACTTTAAAAATTAGTATACTTTTAGACTAAAATCTTTGCATTTGATTTTGAAACTTTGATTAGAGAGAGCTAACGTGATAAATTATTAGCTATTCATTCTTTCACAGGTTTGTTCATTATTAATCTCATTTTACAAAGGGGACAATTTAGATTTTCAGGAGA